AGTTTTCAGAGGTATTTCAGCAGATGTGGGTGGAGAAGGTGAATTTTAAGACTGTGCTGGACGGTGTTTGATGATGAGACAGTTCTCGCAGATACTAGTCATGCACTTTATGTGCATCATGTCCCATGAGCCACTGCTATCTCACACAGATGTTAAGGCATTGTCAGTTTTTCAACCTTGCAATGGAAATTTACTGGCCCCTTTATTAGAAACGCTCCACTGTGCTTCCTCTCACTGGCCACTTAATTAGAAACACCTACCTTGTGCTTCTACTAACTGGCCACTTTATTAGAAACATCAACCTTGTGCCTCCACTAACTGGCCACTTTATTAGAAACAACCCCTTGTGCTTCCACTAACTGGCCACTTTATTAGAAACACCACCTTGTGCTTCCACTAACTGGCCACATTATTAGAAACACCACCTTGTGCGTCCACTCACTGGCCAATTTATTAGAAACACAACCTTGTGCTTCCACTAACTGGCCACTTTATTAGAAACACCACCTTGTGCTTCCACTAACTGGCCACTTTATTAGAAACACCACCTTGTGCTTCCACTAACTGGCCACTTTATTAGAAACACCACCTTGTGCGTCCACTAACTGGCCACTTTATTAGAAACACCTACCTTGTGCTTCCACTAACTGGCCACTTTATTAGAAACACCTACCTTGTGCTTCCACTAACTGGCCACTTTATTAGAAACACCTACCTTGTGCTTCCTCTAACTGGCCTCATTATTAGAAACACCTACCTTGTGCTTCCACTAACTGGCCACTTTATTAGAAACACCCCGTTGTGCTTCCACTAACTGGCCACTTTATTAGAAACATCTACCGTATCTACTTTAAAATTATTCAGTAACTGTAGTGAATTATTCAGTATCCAGTATGAACTGTTCAGTAACTATTTTAAACTAAGTGAAATTAAGTTAAATTTAATTAATCAAAAGATCTACAGAAACAAGGTAAAATGGAGGAAAACACATAAATTCTCTGAAGAGTGTTTATAGATATTTCCTTATTGTGTTAGTACTGAGTGTGTCCACAGGGGGGCGCAGGTGTCTAACAGTTGTGCTCAGAACTGACCGTAACCAGCCGACCGTCTCCACGCTGACTCTGAGTGGGTGTGTATGCAGCTGAACTGCAGGTCTAAATTCCTCAGGAGCTGAGAGCAGCAGCACATCACTGTGAAGCACCTGCCATCAAAGAGTCAAATAAAAGCTCTTTGTGATCGGGATCAAAGGATAGCACTCAGTCAGGCTAAAGCAAGCGCGTCCGTCCAAATAACGTCTGAGAACGGACACAGAATGGACGACCTGACACATCAAATGACTCTCTGATCTCTTCTGTAGGGACGACTGACTGATTGACCGTGTTTTCTCTCCTCATTCATGCTGAACGACATTGTAAATACAGTAGACGCATTGAAAATGACAGAAAACATCCTGTGACTTTCAGAGGACAATAAGGGCTGACTGTGTGAGGGCTGTTTGTTAAGGTGTGTTATCGGTGGACTCTGAGGGGGTTTCATGTTAAGCGCATATAATGAATCTGAAACTGTAGATCTGAGACTTTTAAAGTTGAAGTTAAAGATAAAGCACACTGTGTTTTTGCTGTTCTCAGTCACCTCTTTACGCCCAAAGACTTAAAAAAGTACAATCAGGAAATTGGCTCAAATTTGGTGTCAGGCCATTTTGTGACACGGCCTATCCAACCAATATTTGAACATTTTAATAACTCTTGTAATTCATATTTCTAATATTATTCAAAGTCAGAATTTTGGAAAACAAGAAAAAACTCAAAATTAATTTTGAACAGTAATTTCTCTCATAGATCTCACACATTGCCACGAGTTACTAATATATTATAGAAATATAGTACATAGACTGCCCTGCGATGGACTGGCGACCTGTCCAGGGTGTATCCTGCCTTCCGCCCAATGACAGCTGGGATAGGCTCCAGCACCCCACCGCGACCCAGAAGGATAAGCGGTTTAGGTGATGTATGTATGTATGTATGTATGTATGTATGTATGTATGTAGTACATAGACACCATTACTGTTATCTTCTTCTTCTTCTTCTGCAGTTTTTGAGATATCAACACTGTTCCAACTCCGGAATGTTTGGTCTGATCATGAACAAAAACATTTTTGATCAGACATACGTTTTTTTTGAACAATCATTGTTAAATGACATTTTTTTTCCCATAGAAAAGAATGGAGTGCAAAAGTGTGTGCACCCAACTTATGTCATGTTGATGCAAGTCCATTAGCAACACCCTATTAACCATGTGGGGGACCATAGCAACCACCTAGCAACACCCCAGCAACCACCTAGGATATTCTAGCAACAACCTAGCTACCACCTAGCAACAATCTTGCAACCACCTGGGATGCCATAGCAACCACTTATCAAAACCTTTGCAACCACCTGAAATGCCATAGTAACCATTTGCTGTCACCCTAGCAACACCCTAGCAATCACCTGGGATGCCATAGCAACCTCCTGGCAACACTCTAGCAACCACCTGGTGTACCACAGCAACCACTTACCAATATGTTTGCAACCACCTGCAATACCTTAGTAACCATTTGGCATCACCCTAGCAATATGCCATAGATGCCATAGCAACTTCCTGGCAACACCTTAGTACCCACCTAGCAACAATCTTACGACCACCTGGGATACCATTGAAATCACTTATCACCACCTTTGCAACCACCTAAAATAATAGTAACCATTTGGTAACACCCTAGCAACACTCTAGCAATACCCTAGCAACCACCTGGGATACCATAGCAACCACTTATCAGAACTTTTGCAACCACCTAAAATACAATAGTAACCATTTGGTAACCACCTAGCAACCACCTGGGAACTGCTAAAGCTGTGCGATCACTCTGCTTTTTCTTAAGGAAACTCACTTTTCTAGTTTTCTTATTGTGCTTTTTTAGTCTTTAGTCCAATAAGGTTAATGTATTTTACACATTTTCATGAAAAATATTATTCTGTTCATCACAATTTAGTAATTGTTCATTAAATGATGAAGTGGACCGACATCTCAACAAAACTTACTTTATAAAATTGTACTTATCATCTTACACACACAAAACTCAACTGCAGTAAATCATAATCCAGAGTCTGAGATGTAATCAGAGAGATTCAGAGAGGTTTGGTGTGAAATGGTTCAGATGTCTTTACAGTGGTGGTGATAGGAACCAGGGGTCGCCATGACTACAACACAAATATAGACATTTTATTTACTATCCAGAACCACCAGTGAACCTACACGAGTCTTCTGAGTTTATATGGAATGTTGATGATGGAAAATAGTGGAAAATCTGAAATAATAAGTTTTCTTTGGGGACTATTTTGCCTCACAGCGCCCTGCATGTATCCCTCCACCATGAATGGAGTTTAAGTTCTCTAAACTATCATAAAAGAGTGTCTCAGTCATCAGGCAGTGAATTCATAACCATTTCATGTAGGAACTTTCTGTGAGGGAGCTTTTAGAGGTGGACGTCTGGTTCCTATCACCACCACTGTGAACAGTTCTGACTCGGTAAGTTTCTCTAGAACGGAGCGTTTCACACCAAACCACTCTGAACCGCTCTGTTTAATATAAACTGAAGCTTCGAACTCAGCTGAACTTCTTTCTTCTGTCGTCTGTTCTCTCTCTTTCTCCCATTGTGTATGACCGTTCTGTCCACTGTGGTCCAGACGCAGTTCATCTTCTCTACAGTCGGCTCTGTGTTTCAGCCAAACCCCCTGTTTTCTGGAGGCTGTTGGCGTCTACAGAGGAGACACACAATCATCAGCCCTTCTCTGGAGAAAATAAACACGCTGAGGCTACTCTCACTGGCCATTTTATCAGAAACACCTACCTAACAGCCTCACTTAACAGACTACAGACTGTAGCTCATCTGTTACTGTACAGTGCATCAGCTCCCCTCTCCCTCATTCGTCAACAGAGAGGGACCACCAGAGGACAACCACTGACCAGATATTATTTAGGTAGAAATCTATTCTCAGAAACACTTCCTTTCTAGATCCTTCTTGCTGGTGACTATATTGTATCAATTTTATTAAACTGCATCACAGCACATTGTATTGTATCAAATTTTAATGCAGTGTTTCGTATTGTATCGAATTTTAATTGCAGTGAATCATATTGTATCAAATTTTATTGCAGTTTTGTATTGTATTGAATTTTAATTGCAGTGTATCATATTGTATAAAGTTTTATTGCAGAGTATCGTATTATATTGAATTTTAATTGCAGCATATTATGTCGACTTTTATCACAGCACACTGGGTTGTATCAAATTTTTGTTGTAGCATATTGTATTATTTCGAATTTTAATTGCATTGTAACGTATTGTATTGAAAATATTTGCAGTGTATCGTATTGTATCAAATTACATTGCAGGGTATCGTATTGTATTGAATTTCAGTTGCAGTATATCATATTGTATCAAAGTTTTATTGCCACATATCATATCGATTTGTATCACAGCACATCGTGTTGTATCACATTTTATTGCAGTGTATCAGATTGTATCAAATTTTATTGTACGGCATCATAGTGTATCCAAATGTTATTGTACGAAATTTGAGTTTGTGGAAGCTCCATTCCTCACTAGTCTGCTGAGGGGACTCTCTCACTTCTGACACCAGTGTAGTGTTGGCATGGAGTAAGAAACAGGGCCGTGATTCCACTGTGAGAAGCGCTCTTTATTAAACATCAGGGCAAAAGGGCACTTACAGAAGCACAAACTCACACGGGAGGTCACCACTAACCATACACTTCATCATCATGGTGACCACCACCTCACACTAACTAAACCCACTTCTCGACACAGAACCTTAAACTAACAAACCCTTTTCAGCATGCGCGTACCTCCCATGAATATCCTATATATAAATATATATATATATATATATATATAGAGAGAGAGAGAGAGAGAGAGAGAGAGAGAGACAGAGAGACAAAGAGAGAGAGAGAGAGAGAGAGAGAGAGAGGCAGA